ATGCCAAACTGAAAATTGCTAGTCCTCTTTTTCTCCCTAATAACCTCACAGGAAATGAGGACCCTCTCTTCTCTCTTCCCTTACCTAATATCCTCCTCTTCCCATTTGCTACTATCAGCAATGACAACAAGAAAAATAATTGGCCCTTTTGTAGGGAAGCGGGGAGGGAGGAAGGAAGGAATTCACATAAACACACAACCTCAATGGGGTTGTGTCAAAATGAGCCCAGAAGCCAACCCAAAGAGTTCCAATGACCAAAAGTAGAACAATTTAAACAATGAAGTAGTATTAGATAATAACCCAAAGTTTAAAATAAGCATTCGTGAGTCCATATTGCTGTAAGTGATTGAAGAAATTAGTAAATGAGACAGATCTCCCACACAAAAGAATTCCAAATAATTTATGCAGATTTTCCAACTCTCAGTGAGGGGCAGCATGGCTCACCCCATCTCAGGCATGGGCTGCGCATAGTGACTTCCTTCCAAAGTGCATTTTATAGAAAGGGGAAAGGAAAGAATAACTTTTCAGTGGAGAAACTTGATAATCACTACTTCAGTCGGCGATCAAAGCCAATAGCTTTGATATTTTACCGATACTCTGTGTTAAATCGTGCTGATAGTATGTACCCTTGATACAACCACGAAAATAGCACTTACCTGTGATCTTCCTCCCAATAACCCATAACGCCAAGGTTATCAGAAGAAAAATGTCAGACAAATTCCAATAATGAGGCATCTTAAAAAATACCTGACCAGTCCTCCTCAAAACTGTTAAGGTTATCAAAAACAAGGAAAGTCAGAGAAATTGCCACTGTTGAGAGGAGCCCAAGAACACATGACAACTGATTATAGTAAGATGTCCTGGATGGAATCCTGGGGAAAAGCAGTACTTTAGGTAAGAACTAAAGAAGTCTAAATAAACCATGAACTTTAGTTAATAATAATGTATCAATATTTGCTCTTTAAGCATAATGAATGTATCATACTCATGTAAAATGTTAGTAACAGGGGAAGTGGAATATGGGAACTCTGCACTATCTTGTCAGTTTTTCTGAAAGTCTAAAAAATAATTTTTAAATATTAATAAATTCCATTAAAACAGAAAAAAATTGCAAAATGTTAATAATCTTCCCAGTTTGGGAACATAGGCAATTTATGCTTTTGTCTTTATAGTTCTCTGAGCCATACACATTTTCTAGCATAGGCTCTATGCTGCTCTAAAAAGTATATGCATACAAAATTTTTTCTCAACCTATTTAAATGCTGAACACTAAATCTATGATTATAAATCTTTTTAAAGATTTTATTTATTTTTAGAGAGAGGGGAAGGGAAGAAGAGGGGGAGAGTAACATTGATGTGAGAGCAATATTGATTGGTTGCCTTTGGTACATGTCCCAACCAGGGACCAAAACTGCAACCCAGGCACGTGCCCTGACGAGGAATTGAACCAGCAACCTTTTGCTTTGCAGCTTGACACCCAACCAACTGAGCCATGTTGGTCAGGGCTGTGATTTAAATAATTTAAATTTTAAATAAATACTATTTATGAAATAATTACAATTTGTTGCATACTGACTGTGCTTAAGAATTTTACCGATACTCTGTGTAGTGAACAATATTACTCCCTTTTAAAAGATAAGGAACGAAAGAAGAGATTCGGGAAGTTTAAGTCACGTAACCTAGGAAGTGGCAAGTAAGCTGATTCTAAAAGGTGCTTCTATTTCTACATAATACAGCTTCTCTAGAATTATTTGTTCAGCATTCATAAACTAGTGCTCGTATATATATTCAGGTACTTCACACCAGTGCTCTGAAGTGGGTTATAAATACACACACTTCCGTGAAACAGGCACCACTGCAGTGCAAACACCACCGAAAACAACACATAACCTCCATCAAATAAAAATAATACAAATAGCACTGGCACATCACACAGTAGCTAGCAAACCGACTGCTAATCGCTTTGAAACACAGCAGAGATGTTTCACTGGAAGGCATCCGGAATCATGCCCCTTCCCTAGGCAAAGCAGTTCTTCCAAACTGTATTAAGTCAAAGAACTAAAACTGAGTATTCTACAGAAATAAAAAATACAAATAAATAAAACTGAGCATTCCCCTTATACTACTTTGGAGTTCGAAGAGATAGTTTAGAGTGATTTCATGTCTTCATCAAGGCTCAGGACCACACTGTTCAAGTTATTTCAACATGTGACAGGATCAATTGAGACTACTTAGCCTACATCTGTCTTTATGATGCCCTTTCATGATTCCTTAATTCACAGGATGATTCAGCTGATGAGGTTAGCCTATTTTTAAGTAAATTACTGTATTTTAGGTGAATTAGTTCTTACCATGAAAATAAGCCAAAGTAGACTGTGTATGAGGCCTGAACAAGGGAAATCCAAAACCTGCCCAAAGAGTTACAATACCAGCATCCATGAATAAGATCACATACATGAGGAAGCGCACCTGTCAAAACGACATAGGAACCAAATTGATAGGGGACCCACTGACCAACTCTGGGACATGGCAAGCATCAAAATAAAAAATTAACTCATACAAAATAGTCATGGGATATAAAGTAAAGCACAGGGAATACAGTCAATAATATTGTGATGCGGTGTACTACGCAAAGTGTATGATTAACCACTAAGCAGTGCATCTAAAATTAACACAAAATAAAATTGAAAGAATATTTTTTAAAAATTAACTCAATATGAAAACAAACGACCCAGACCCGATTTTAAAAAGTAGACAAAAGACTCCAGATATACAGATAACAAATAATCACATGAACAGATGTTCAACATAATTAGCCATTAAAAAAAAAACAAAAACCTAATTAAAACTACACAAAGACACCATCCACTTATTAGGATGGCTCAAAAAAAGAAAAAAAGAGAAACTGACATCAGGTAGTAGTGAGGATGCAGAGTAACTGAAACGCTCATACACTGCTGGAGGGCAGTGAAACGGCACAAACCACTTTGGGAAAGTTGGGCAGATTCGTATAATGTTACATTCGTATAATGTTACATTCGTATAATTTTACATATATACACTTACGGACCCGACAAATCTTTTATTTACTCAAGTACAATGAAAACCTGTACAGAATGTTCACAGCAGCTTTAGTCTTACTCACCAAAACTGGAAATTCAAATGTGTCTCAACAGGAAAATGGTAAAACTGTGGTATGCTGCATCCGTGTAATGTAGTATCACTCAAAATAAAAAGGAACAAGCTCTTGATACATACATCTTGGATGAATCTCAAGTACACCATTTAAGTGGGAAAAAAAATTACACTCAAAGGCTACATACTATATGATTTTACATACTTTGGGAAAAGCAAATCCTAAGGTCAGAGAACAGATCAGGAGCTGTCAGGGTTAAGGTGAGGGGAAAGGTTTAAAATAAAGGAGTGGCTAACGCAGTTCTTGGGCGGTGGAGGGGAATGACAGAATTGTTCTGTATTTTGATTGTGGTGTTAACATGAATCTGTGTGTTGAAATTCATAGAACTATAAATCAAAAGAGTAAACTTCACTGCCTGTAAGTTAAAAATGAATTTTTTAAAAACATCAAATGAAAATAACAATTATAAAGGATTCAATCCTTTAATTCCTTAAAACAGAAAACCAATAACCTGAGGAGGTTTGCGAACATCTTGACGGACAGCACATGCCGCCTCCTCCTGATTCAACGCACTGAGGAGGCGGCATTGCTTCCCGGGCAGTCCTGCGAAAAGGGCTCACCCGAAACGTAGTGATGAGAACACGTCAGACAAACCCATATCGAAGTCATTCTGCAAAATAACTGGCTTGGGCTCTTCAAAAGTATCAGTTACATAAAACGTAAGTCTGTAATTGGTCCAGATAGAAGAAATCTAAGAAGTTACAAGAATCCAACACAGTGCACAATCTTAAGATTTATTTTTTCTATAGAGGACTGTATAGTTAGAACTGACAAAATCTCATTATGATTCTCAGTAACAGCGTTGTGTTGATGTTAATTTTCTGATTTTGACCAATGCATTATGGTTATGTAAGAAAACTCCTTGGGGGAAAAGGAAACACTGAAATATTTAGTGTTACTCTTAAATGGTTCAGGAAAACAGTAATTAGAAAGAAGGCCAATGACATAAATATTCCTATTTGGTGTATTTTAATGAAGGGTATCCAGGAATTCCTTGTACGACTCTTGCAAAGTCTTGCAAATTTCAGATAAATTTGACATATTTATCTGAGAATGTCAAAATCAAAAATAATTATAAAAAGTAAACATTCCTTGGGCTACAAATACAGATGAAGTAATCTGAAGGATAAAACGAACACATCTCGTAAAAGAGCGAGCCTGGAGCCACTCTGGCCCTGACTCAGCACTGACCAGACAGACAGCTGTCCCAGCCCGAGTCCTAGGTTCCGCTCCGGTAAGGCTTAGCCTCATGATGTGAAGCATCTGAATTATACAAGTGACTCTCCCTCAGCTGTTTCCTTGCTCTTGATTGAATTTTGCATATATAACAGCAGCTTCAAGTATGGATCTGGCTCTAAAGAAAACTATTGATCATGCTGATTAAGAAATTACTCATATTTATAAATTGGGTTATAAACCAGCTTCCTGTGACCTTGATTAATACCAGCATTCCCATATTTTATCAACTCTGGGAAATCAAAAAGAATATTTTGGGACCCATGAGCCTAAAAACTATATTCTAAAATCATAGATTTATCAAGGCTGTATAACTCTGTGTAATTCTTACACCATTTCTCTTAGCTATATTCCTGCATCTGTCACAGCCTTATTTCAACCAACGTGTATCATTACTCAGAAAGACATGACATTTAAAAGAGTAAGACTAAATAAGGTTAATAGGAAGCCGTATTTTTCAGTGGGAGAATCACATGACAGGTACTTAAATAACATAATTCCAGTTCGGAAAACTGCATGAGATATCTGTCATTTAAATATGGCACTGATGCAATCAATCACTTCAAGGACACAAAAAATGGAGAAAATGTTTTTATTTTCATGTTTTTCAAAGTCTTGACATAGAACAGGTAAATACAGACCACAAGTGAAAACTTTAAATATGCAGACAGAAAAGAAGCCATACAGAAGGTTCAGGCCTTTATTCATAACCTCAGAATTAAGGAGTCCAGTCTTTAAAAAAGGGAAAAGGTTCCATTTAACATTTACTCAATTTCCTTATGTAGCGGTATACTTAAAGTTTTTAGATTAGCTCTTAGTTCTGGCACACTTAGTAAGTACAATCTCACAGAAACAGGATTTTACTATTTCATTCTCCAAACACTTCAAAACCCAAGCCAACTCTTTCTCCTCATTCAAATATGAGTCATGGTTTTATAAAGCATGAGCATCAATTTTACTGCTTCATCATCTACATGCTAGATTCTAATATTCTTTGTGATGGTTGTGTTCAATGATAGGAACTTACAGAGAAAACTCCTTCTTTCTCAATTTGTACATCAAAATTTTAAAAGGAAAAATCCTTGAAATGATAGGAAGACATTTTTTGACATAAGCAGCTACTGCCATAAGGTGCTTACACAGGCAAACATAACAACAGTATAAATTGTTATTTAATATTTAAATTAGTCTATGTTTGCTACACATCCAAATAATTCAAACATATTTTCTTCTGCAATAAAAATTAAAGTAACCTCCAATTTGACAACTTTTAAAGACATTAACAGCCCTGGCCAGGTAGCTTAGTTGGTTAGAGCATCATCCCTACACACCAAGGTTGTGGTTCAATCCCCAGTCAGAGTATATATGAGAAGGAACCAATGAATGCACAAATGAGTGGAACAACAAATCAATGTTTCTCTCTTCCTCTCTCTCTCTAAAATCAACAAATACTTTTTTTAAGAAAATTTAAAGATGTTAATAAAAAAGATTAACTTTCTTCCTTAATGTCCAGTGATAAACTGAACCCCAACTTTCCTACCACAAAGGACATAAACTGATCTAAAGTGAATCAAAGTGCATAACAAGTTTATATTAACAATTATTCTTCATATGCCTTTTTTCACTAAAGGAAGCAATATAAAAGTAATGTAAAAGCTTGTTTAATGCTTGCAGATTTAGGTAACCTCCAAGGAATCAAAACTTTGAAGCTTTTAAATCCAGCACTAATGTTATGTGAAAATACTTGTGTCTCAGAAAACAGCAAACCAATAAAACCCCATACGTAAAACGGCCTAAATATCAGTAATAATAATATTCTCCATAGCTTTTGTTATCTAAAATTTAAAAGTCATCAATCTTCTTCAGCACTTTGAACAGCAATCAAAATAGTCATTATTTATTCAGGCTGAAAACTAAACTTCTCCTCTCCGATATGCAGGCACACGTGAAACAGAAAAGGTTATTTTGTCGATCATCGGGAGCCCGTTACGCCATCATCGGGTCGCCTTCTCCACCAGTAGCATCCTGAGAAATGTGAAGGTCTTCAAGCATCTCGGCCAGACTAATGCGAGGAGCTCCTTCATCATCTGTGTCACTTTCCACAGGAATGGTGGAATCTAAGAAAAAAATACAAGGAGGATTTCAAATAAATACGAATGTGGAAATATGCAAACACCTGCCCTCATCATCATTACTGTTATTTAACCACTTTATATCCACAGCTCTGGTATCATATCTAGGGCAGGCATTAACCATTCACTGAATGACTAAACCACATAGATAATAAGTACTAGTGTAGGGGTCGACAACTTGAGTGATCATGTGAGGAGGCAAATGACATCAAATGTGGTTTAGCAAACATTTTAGTAAGTTTTACTGTTCTGAAAGCTTTTTTAAATAAATGATTAACTAGAGTAGTTTTTAAAAACATAAAATGAAAGTCATTTATGAAATCAAAGTTTAAGATACCAGAATATTCAATGTGGGGGAATACAATTTAAACACTCAAACACCAACCTCTGTAAATGTTTACATTTTTTCTAATTGCCTCATCTTCTTCAAGATCTTCAAGGAAATCTTGGTATTGCCTATAGGAGAATAAAGAAACATTTAAGTATTTCATCTTTACCAGGAAGTATGAAGTTATCTTTCCTTCATTTTCAGCACTGTAAGATGTAAGATTAAAATCTTTAAAATAATATCTGATTGTCATTGCAAGTATGCCTGTTAAATATTCTGACCAGTTTTCTAAGTTTTTTCTTTCAAAATTACATGATAAAAAAATACAAAACTGAACATAAGGTGATGTTAATTTAAATATAATACAATGAGAAGGCTCCTTCCCGCTTTACCTTTCCCAAAAAATTCTTATGACCAAGTTGAAGTACATACACTTTTAAGACTAGAGATTTAACAGTCAAAAGTGTACTTACATCTAATTAACATTATATATTTAATACATACTTTAAATTACATTATGAGATTACGTTTTAGATATATTGCTGTTTTGCATTCACATTTAATGACACAATTTTCTTTAAAACTTCATTTTTTCAGACATCAGTGTCTTTACCACCATCATTAAGGCCACTTTACAAATCACCCAGTCTTTTTTCTAGAACACATTATCTCCATTTCTCCTAAAGGTGTTTGAAAAATAGTGTATTTGATATCAATGAGCTGTTTTCTTTTTATCCCAAGTCATAAGTATTCATTTGCTATTTGTGATATACACAAGGTAATTAATTACTTCTTATATTTTGACTTTTCAAATAAACTGTTTTCAATGACACTGCAATTGTCAGGTTATAACCCAGGATACAGTAACTAAATCTGTGTTAAATGTCATTATAGCCTGTTATACTGATTCTATCAACACATTGGTAAAGTTTAATTAATATTGAGTACAAGGATAAATTGTGAGATGACTATTTCTTTATCGTATAAAAACCATATAAGGTTTAAAGAAAAGTGGGACCTTTCATCATCCGTATCCATATTTTCTCTATCTCTTGCAAGCTCTTTCAGTTTCCAGTTTCTACGACGCTGACGTTTCGTACGGTCATAGCTCTTCTTGATTAATACCTAGAAGTGACAAATATTTGCAAAGTTACAAAAATGGGAACTAGGTAACAGGGCTTCAAAATCCAATAAAGACAGAAAATTAAAAGTTATGAGAATGTCAGCAAGTCACCAAACTGATGACAGGGCTTATACCTTAAAGGGGAGAAAGAGGGAGGGATCAGAGGCAGTGTCAAGAGATCTTCTAATATTTTTCTCCATGTACTTATTACTATTTTATGAGAATGCATTTAGCTATTATTTGTATAATTGTTAAAATTTACTAACAAATTTTTCAGTGATTTAAAATTGCTTTTCCTTTATTGTCAAAATTTCAAGTATCTGGTGTGCTTTTTACACCAGCATTCAGTTTTCAGCCACCATTCACATAAGCCATTCTGAAATGTTATCACAGACACTTCTTCTCTTTTTTATTCCTACTAATAAGCACTTATAGAACTACATTAATCTTTCACAATTGTATGTCCTAGAACAGTTTAAAAATTTGCAGCATGAATAAATAATTTTACACAAAACAAAATCTTGTAAGAACATCATGATCTCCTATTATGACCTATTTAGAAAGACCTACTTACACTTACACCTAAGCTGTGCTCTATTTTCTAATTTATTAACTAACTAAAGCACACGTGGGTGATGGGGCAAGGAATCCTTCTTATACCAGGACTATATTTTTGTCCACAGCTAGAGATCAATGTTTATTTTAAAAGGTTAAGGAAGCAAGAGATAGGGTCTTTCACATTCACTGTTGTACATGACTCATCGATTCATGTTAGAATTTACCAGGTTTTTTCCAAAAGTCAGATTTCTTTCTCTTAGACTTGCTATTATGAAGGTCATTTTCATTTCATTTACATTCAAACCAGAAAAAGAATTTCACTCTAAATGCCTCCCAAACTGAACAATACAGGAAATACCAAAAGAATGAACCTGGATAAATTCTAAAGGTCATCAACTTTAGCTGTAAATTTATTTTTTTCTCTATGAATAGTATCAAGCATTTTGACAGAATATGACAATTTGATTATAAAAGCAACAACAAAAAACTCTTAAAACTTGGATTTTCCACACTAAGAAAAATGATTTAAAATGAAGACTTTTGCTATCATATCCCAAGTACAATTTCAAAAGCAATCTCGAAGTTGATTTATTTTTAAAAATGTGACCTTGTTCATCTTTCCTAAAAGAGTTACATCAATCCTCTTTAACACAGGAAAAAAGGGAAAAATCTAAAGCCTTACCACATCTGGGACTCTATCTGAGTTCATTTTGTTGACATGCTCGTCATTTAAGTTACAGTTTGCCAAATCAAATCTGAAATGAAAAATAATAAAACATTTAATGGCAAAAAAATTTTCCCTTTCCATGTAACTTTTTATGTTATGTATGATCACCTGAAAGTTCCTTCTGAGATCAAACATTTAATATGTTCCCATTTCCAAAATTTTGGAGTTCACTCTACAGTGGGCATGCTTCTAGAGATCACTGTAAAGATGATAACGCACTCATCTCTGAGAGTCACATATCGATTATTGTCTACCTCACCATGTATTTGTGAAGAAGCAAAACAGACTTAACGGTACCAGTCCAAAAGATTCAGTTAGCTGGTTCCATTTAGTGTATAATAAACAAAACAAACAAAAACCCTTCATTCTCCAGTAAAGGAACTAAAACCCTAAGAGCAAAAGTAATGTTTAAGGTATGATGACAAGCCCGGCATCTGAACAGACTATCCTATGCCTGTAAACACCCTTTACATACATGGCTGCCATTTTTTAAAAGTGAAATATCTAAGCAGTAGCAGATACTTAATAAAAAAAGACCTACTCCCCCAAAAAGTCATAAAGATGATCTAACCATACAACTTCAGAGTTCAGTTACTCAAAATCTTAGAACAAACGACATTTCAAGATGATGGCCAAAATGGAGCTTAGTGTGGGCTTCTGTCCAATCCACAGTTTTAATTTACTTATTAATAGTAAAATGAGCTATAAAGCTCCAGGGAATTCTCTTTGGGATAAACTATCATAGTATTTTAGAAACTTTTGATGGCTCCAGAAGAAAATTTGTAATGCTGATTTACAGTTTAAAATACTATAAAATAATACAAACCCCAACACCAGGTCTCCAGGATTCAGAAGATGTCCCAAATGAGTGCGACAAAAATACTGTTTATCTGTATTCATTTCAGATGTTTTCTGTACCCAGACTTCCCCAAGGGTATGCTTAATAGGAAAGAAAATGGAACTCAAAAATGCATTTCATAGAAAACTTAAAATACAATGTTGGTTTTCTAATTTTCACTTTAAAAACAGAAATTATTTTATTTTCAGATCTCTGAAATACTGTCAAAATTAACAAATTAAGTAAGAGTATAGAAAAATATTCACAAGAAATTCATAATATAAATATTTTTGTTTAGATTTTCATAAAGGCTTTTATAAAACATTAACAAGTCACCTAAAAACAGACATGTAGAATTTTCAGAAGAAATGTTTCCACAGGGAGATTGGGCCAATATATACTGACCAAAAAGAGCAAGTGAAAAAGTAGGGGAGTCTTAAATCCAATCCTAAGCAACCCCTTGTGTTTTACACATAAAGTTAAAAAAAAACTAGGATTCAGAGAGAACAATCTAGCAATGCCAGTGGCCCCACTACTAGAATTTTTTGGATGTCTACTATTTTGAGATATTACACTTAAAGAAAAAAATTGTTGCAGAAACAGCATCCCAAGTTTTAAATTTTAAGCTAGAAAACCAGTCAAGTACCCTTCCCACACAGAATTTTACAAGAATTGTAACTGACATTCAGACATCCAGACTGAATTTACTATAGCACATACCAATACCTTTACTAACAAAAACAGACGCATTGAGTTCAAAAGCAATACTAAGAATTATAGATAAAATAAGGAGTCTTAAAGAGATGAAAAGAAGAGGTAGAGATAAAAGGGGAGACTGAAATAAAAGACTGATCTCAGGTTTGGGAAAGAAATGATTAAAAAAAAAAAAAAAGTGAGTTACCGGAAAAAGAGACTAAATCCTGTGTTACAGGATTCACTTTCTGGCTACTAGGCTGCTTCTATTTATAAGAGACTTATGAACCTGTTCTAACTAAGTGTATTTTCTGAAAACCAAAAAAAAAAAAATACACACATACACACACACACACACACACAATATCTCATTTCATATATGCCTAGGGAAAGTGGAATTCTACATTTATTATAAATAATAAAAGTTTTTTCTTAACCATATTACTAAATTTTGTATTTTAAATAAAAATGTGAAAAGTAATCTGTCTGACATTTCTATTGATTTTCCCAAATTATCAGAAGTTATTTTTACCTCAAAACACAGTTATTACCTCACTAGAAATGGGCACCATTAGTATACAGATAAAGAATCTCTAAATACTAATTCACAGTAAAGGAAATCAGATTTATATCCTTGAGGAAATACCTGATTTCGGGCATGGAGTAAGAACTACACAATGTGATTCTGGAACACCTAAACACTGTGGTGGTGTGCCACAAACTAAGGATGTTTTCAAAGACTAGGAAAGTCATGTCAAAAGGACATAGGAATAGACATATCTATTCAAGAAATTGAATCAACAATTAATAAAATAACCTTCCAAAACAGAAAGCACCAAGCCCAGATGTATTTATTGGTAAATTCTACCTAACATTTAAGGAAGAAATTATACAGATTCTCTATACTCTCTCCCAGAAAATAGAAAAAAAAAAAAAAAAAAGGAATACATCCTAACACATTTACAAGGCCAGAATTACCCTAATACCAAAACCAGACAAAGACATTACCAGACAAGCAAACTACAGACCAATGTTCTCTTGTGAACATGGATGCAAAAATCCTCAACAAAATATAAAAGAATTGTACACCATGACCAAGTGGGATTTACCCCATGGTGCAAGGCTGGTTCAACATTTGAAAATCAATTCATGTAATCCATCAATCACATCAACGGGCTAAAAGAAAAAAAATCATATGATGGTATCAATATAAAAAAGCATTTGACAAAATTCAAACACACACACCATTCATGTTAAAAACTCTTAGTAAAGTAGGAATAGAGAAGAACTTCCTCAACTTGATAAAGAATATATACAAAAAACCTACAGCTAATATTATACTTAATGGTAAGAAGCTCAAAGATCTCCCACTAAGATCAGGTACAAGGCAATGAGGTCCTTCTTACCACTGTTTTTCAATATCCTACTAGAAATCCTAGCTAATGCAAAGAAAAGAAAATGAAAGCTATATAGATTGGGAAAGAAAAAAAATAAAATTATCTTTGTTTGCAGATAACATGATTGTGTATGTAGAAAATCTGAATGAACAAAGAAACTCCCAGAATATAGCAAGGTTACAGGATACAATGTTATAAACAAGAGTCAATTACTTTCCTATGTATCAACACAAACAACTAGAATCTGAAATTAAAAACACAATACCATTTATATAGAACCCCCAAAAATGAAATACTTAGGTATAAATGTAACAAAATATATGAAGATCTTTATAAGAAAAACTACAAAACTCTGATAAGCAAATTTAAAAAAAACAAAAACCCTAAGTAAATGCAGAGAAATTTAATGTCTGCGGCTAGGAGGACTCTATTTGGGGTGTATTAATAATGGAGAAGACTATGCATGTATAGAGTCAGGTAGTATGTGGGAAATTTCTTCCTCTATTTGCTAAAACCGCTCTAAAAATGTAAAAGTCACTTATAAAATTTTTTTTAAGACATAGAAACTTCTGTAAGGGTTCCCAGTGGCTAATTTGGGGAAATCTGAGTCGGAGGAAAGGGGGGAGAGAGGAAGTCAGTCAGACCAGCAATCTAGTAACAAGGGGAAAAGAATCATAATATTACAATAGAGAGATCTGGCTATCAGGGAACTAGCCAAACATTACCTGTCTCTTGATACATCTTAGAAAGTACATAGAATCACCACCAAAATGTTCTGACCAAAAATAATTAACATAAATTTAAGCAAGTCTTTAGATACACTGTCCAGTTTAACGGAACTACAAGAGATTAAGTAGCAAGTTAAATGACATCATGAGGAAACAATAAAAAAGATCCACAAGACAAATGCCCTGGTTGCCCTAAAAAGTTGTTATGGAAAAAGGGGGAGGTGGCTATTATTAAATAAAAGATTTAAGAGGTATAATATTCATATTCGATGTATGATCCCCAAATGGATACTAGTTTGAACAATCCACAAAAGATACTCTGGGACAAATGATGAAATATGAAGATAAATGAAAATGTTTATATGTATGATAATACTTTGATTATATAGAAAATGTTCCCATGTTTTAGAGATGCAAACTGATGTATTCAGTATTTAATGATAATACAGCTTATATTCGATTCAAATGTTTGAAAATTTTTAAAGTCAAAAAAGGTTAGCTTATCATTTGGTCTTCCTGTACAAAAGTAAAGCAAGAAAATGCTTTTTCATAATAATAAACATTTTAAAAACTATTCTCACATTAAACAAGAAAATAAACTTACCAGATAGTGTAAGTCTCATAATTTTCACCACAATGACTATATGTAAAAGCAAACAACATACAAAATTGAGTGCAATTTTAACCTATTGTGGTGCTATCTTTTTTTGGAAACACATTTTAGAAATACCTGCATCAAGACAGTAAGTTGGGGGAGAAAAAACACAGGTGTGCAGGATAGAACTTACCTTTTTTGATATCATTCCAGCACCTGCTTTGCGTTTTAGATCTCGAACTATGCTGCCTTCCATCACAATGAACTCCTCCAGCTGTTTGGGATGGCACAGACTATTAAAAGGGTGACTCCAGAATGTATTCCCATCAACATCTGCAACTAAGAATAAGCAGAGACTACTAAAGAACAAGAGAAACGAAGTATATTAAAAGTCAACAAATGTTATATATAACTAGGGAGAATTTGGAATATATAAACTGGGAAGCGGCACGTCAACAGGAACCACAGGGGCAGCTCACCAATGTCTACAGTCATCATTTATTCCCATAAATTAGTCCAAATTTCTCACAACACAAGAGAAGTATCAGGTGTCAAATATATCTTAAGTAGTTACTATCATCAGAACACCATGGAGCTAAGTGACTTTAATATAAGATTAGAGCCAATCAGTTGTACAGTTTTCATGTGCTGGCATTTTATTAAGAAAACGCGTCAGTTATCTTAAGTAATGAGTTTATGGAAAATGAAGTTTTACCTGACAGATGTTCATCCAATACTGTACAAAATACCTTTAACTGATGAATCCTAACCTAATTGATGAAGATAATAAATGACTTTCTGAAGAATCGCAAAATAAACTCGATTTTTTAGTAACAGAAAACTAACAGGAAATAGAAAGTGAAAAGGATAAAAAAGTAAGAGATGTAAATGAGTACTAAGGAGACACTGATATGGGGTATTCTTTAAAAAATAGTTTTTATGCCCTAGCTGGTGTGGCTCAGTGGACTGAGCACCAGCCTGCAAAGCAAACGGTCGCCGCCAGTTCAATTCCCAGTGTAGGGCACATGCCTGGGTTACAGGCCAGGACCCCAGCAGGGGGCATGCAAGATGCAACCACACATTGATGTTTCTCACCCTTTCTTCCTCCCTTCTCCTCTCTAAAAATAAATCTATAAATAAATACAATCTTTTAAAAAATTAGTTTTTATTAAGGGACTATATAAATTATGTAGAGTATGATGAAATTAGTTAAAATTCATATTTAAACTAAATGTTCTACTGGATTACAAAAAGTTAAATGTTCTAAACTTTAAAATATTTGCTATACACTAAAATCTGGCAATGAACTTAAATAATTAGTCACAAAAATAAACTGAGGTAACTAAGTCAATTTCAGTAAAATAAATGGTATAAAACCAGTAAATTTTTGAAAGTTCATAGAATTATTTCTTCAAGTGAAAAATACAAGGGTGGCCCTGGCCAAGCGGCTCCTTTGGCTGGAGCATCATCCATACAGCGAAAAGTGGTGGGTCGGATCCCCAGTCAGGGCAAATACAGGACGCAAGCAATCAATGTTTCTGTTTCTCTTTCTTTGTCTTTTGTTCTCACTCTCACTCTCCCCACTCCCGCCCCACCCTCTTCTCTAAAAATCAATAAATATATCCTCAGGTAAGAATTTTTAAAAATATATAAGTGTAACTTATCAAAAGCTTTAAAATCAGTGTTTTGTGAGAATTAAATAATAAAAATGTTAACTAGTTTTTCATAACAATATTATTGAAAATGTCTGAGAAATTATTACTGCTTGCCATACAGAACTGCCAAGGCAAACAATTCCTAAAACTTACCTTGCAGGGTATTTGGATCTATGAGATGGATGGCACTAGTTACACGAATACACACACAAATCTGGTTCATATTTCCCAGGCTTTGTGCCAGTTTTGGAGACAGACAAACAACATTGTCCTAGGCAAAAGAACTAACAGTTAGAGTGAAGCAAATACTAAGTAACAGTCTACAAAAAACATTCATCGCTGTAAACCTGATCCAAGAGCATTTGCTCAAACCAAAACATTAAATTTTTAATTCTATGTACAAAGTACCTAAACAAAAGAATCTTTAGAGAAAAGAGAAAATGAGCTATATTTTCTTAAGATGGTGATATCTGTTTAATAAAAATGCTTTAATTTGTTTTTCAGATCCTATTCATCAAGCTATTTACTTCAACTTAGTTTAAGTGTGAATGCTTATCACTCTATGGTAACATTGTACATTATAATCAAAGTATTAAACATCAAACTGATTTTCTAAACCTACTTGTGACTTACTTCAATCTCCATAAAAAATAAATTTCAGGGGAATCACATGTTTCTCTCTCATGGCTACATGTAGCAATATGTAATCAAATATTTAATGCCCCAAAGAGCACACTTCTATGTGTACACTGGGAAATAACACCCACAGTGGGGTTATCTGTTTTTAAACTGCATTAAAATACAGAAGAATCTGGGTTATATTTTAAGCTGCATCTATTCACAATTACAGGCTCCTCCACTGAGAGGACACCTGTGCATCACTAATAGCACCTAGACCAGTCCTTTCTCTTTAACTTAAGATTCTCCAAAGATTAATGAAACACTCCTTTATATTGTGTATGCATCCAGTGACTTGTGTGAATCACTCGAAACACTTAATAATCAAGGTTTAAATATACCCTTTCCCCTAAATCTATACTTCCCAGGCTGTAGCAGTAAAATGTTCAGTTTTAAACCAGGGGTTTGCAAAATATGTCCCTCAGGACAAATTTGGTCCACATCCCATTTTATAAATAAAGTGTTACTGGAATACACCCTCAGCCACTCATTTACCTATTATCTATGGCTACTCTGTGCAACGGCAAGTGAACTCAGTAGCTGCAAAGGAAACTACATGGCCTGAAAGCTGAAAATATTTACTCTCTGGACCTTTACAGAAAAATTTTGCTGACCCTGTTTTAAGCCATCATGTCATCTCTTGGTAATGTACTCTCTCATAAATTAGTGGTAACAGCTTTAAAGCTTAAGAGTCACAGACCTAGGTACAAATCCTGGCTTCATCACTTTGCAGTAATGTAACTTTGGTCAAGTCACCCAACCTTCCGAAGTTTCAATTTCCTCATCTTCAAAATGACACTATAATTCACACTAGTTATTACAAGATGTAATAAGGTGAAATACACTCAGGTACAGTGGTACCTAGGTACTCATCATTACTTTGTTTCAGTACTCGTGATGAGTGCCAAAACCATCAAGTACTGAATGATGAACAATTTTCTCTTGCAGGGCGGTGTTGGGACTCACACAAGTTCTAGCAAGTACTAGGAGTTCTGAGCAAGCACCAAGTGCTGAAACATTTTTTCCTCATAAAATGCAACAAATACAGGGTTTGACAAGTTCTGAAGCTAACAAGTACCAAGGTATGACTATACTCAGATAACTTATAACTTATATAGATAACTTAACTTGTATAGAATGCTCATAATAAATTACGGCACTTACCATTGTTAGTGATTTAAATATCAATATATAAGTTCCTATGTGGCAGAGACCTCTAGATACATAATCCTTAACACACAGACTTCTATACAGGAGATCCTCAATAATGATTTGTTGAAATATTAATCCACTTACATTTTTGAAGCAAGGTTTTACCTTAGTACAATTAAATAAAATGATAACCTATATTTTAAGTGTTATTCAGATTATGTTTTTAAATCACAAAAATGATTCTATGGCCTCATTTCCACAATACTGTTTACTTTCATCATGCCAAAATCCAGTTTGAACATATTCCAAAGTGGTTCACTGATATTTATTTTAATGTCATTTCCTGTATTCAAAGTTTCACAGAACTGTCATGTGTCCACTAGGACCATAAATTTTAAGGAATAAGGACATTGAAAAACTGCAACAGGCCTTTTAATTAGTACATCAAAATAAAGGGTATGCCAATTTTAATTTTAAGCATAATTACTTTTAACATCTTTTTAACATAGCTGAGTGTGTTAGAAATCATTTAAGAAGGAAGTTATTCTAAATTTTTAACCAACCCCAGAAGGAAACCAGGAACTAATAATTACATATAAACCAATTAATTACTTCCACTCTTTTATAGACATAGATTAATTTAATAAGAAAAAGTACCTTGCATATTGGAACAATTTCCACAGAAAAAGTGCTTTTGTAGTTGTATGTGTTACTATGGATATCCTGAGAGATCAGTCTCTGTGAAGCTTTATACCTATTAGGAGAAAAAGTTACTTACAATAAAAAGATAAATGCCTTATTTGTATAGTCTCAGAATACCAATTTTCACCAAATCAAATCATCACTGTCAAAGGCCTGAAACAGCTTCCTGATGTCTGCTATGGTGAAGCCTAATTTCTTCCAAATCTTCACCAACATGACTGAACCCTAACTATTTTCAACTTTATCTACTAAAAATCTCCAAAACATACCCTTGCCTCAGCCAATCTAACTTATCCACAGAATCCATTAAAAACTATACTAACACCCACAAGTTTTGTTCACACTCATTTCACTTTTCAGTATAAACTCTACCTTTGAAAATGTCCCATGTGAGGAGTTGAAGTCCTTCCTCCTCCATGTAGCTTTTCCCCAAAGCCCTCTACCCTCATCCTTCTTTTCTCTTATTTAAAAATATACAATCAATGGTTTGGTACTACAGTGCTTACTATCCTGGGGTGAGGTCCACTTCCCCAAAGTGACTCTTACATGCTCTTAGACTACTACTTCCCTTAAAGTGACTAAATCCAATAAATGCTTACTAATTGTGTAACTATTCCTACTGCAATTTCAAATATTTTAACATAAGAGAGGTTGTCTGAGTCTGAAGAACGTATGTGAATTATACCTACTCTCAGCTCCTTGGACTTAATCACATTTAGGTTCAGAACATACCTACAGGGGACTGTACACTGAAGAAATTCTACCATCTTCTGAGCATGCTGCTTTGAAGAATAATAAAAATCCAGTCCATCTTTAAAAAAAAAAAGTCACATGAAAATAATACTGACAAATAGATTTTCTTCTAATAACATGATTACATAACAAATAAAATGTGTTAAAAAAAAAAAAGGAAGGGAAGGGGAAAGTCAAGGAACATATAGTAAGGACTCATGGACAAAACCAAAGGGGAAGAGTTGAGGGAGGGAAGGAGGGAGGGGGCAAGAGAAAGTGGTGGGGGGAGGGCAGAGACAAATGTATTTGAAAAAATAAATAAATAAATTTTAAAAAATAAAAATAAATTAATAAAAATATTTTTAAAAGAAAAAATGTGTTAAAAAATCAAATTATCAGAAAATACATTCACAATACTTAGGAATATGTCATTTAAGATTTATTCAACAAAATCAGATGCTAACAAAAGAAAATAAGATTCATAAATTTAATTTCAAACATAATAATATTCAAGGTCAACGGGCGGGGATAAAAACACTAAAAAACATAGGATATTTTATGTAATAAATGTAACAATCTACCAAGATGACAATAGAAATTCACCTAATAACAGCACTGAGATGCAGAAACAAAAACTATTAAAAAGAAATTAACAAATGTTAAGTCATGCACAATCATTGTGGGGGACTAGTACAAGACTATCAAAGCCAAAATGACCAAACTGACCAAAAATAGGAAGGATCCACAGAATTAAATCTATACAAGGATTTAATAACCAACTATCAAGATTAATTTAATTGAGATTACAGAACATGGTCCCAAGAAAGAATACAATTTTTTAAAATTTACAGAACATGCATAAGATAATTATGTACTACGGTTTTTTAAAAAACTTCAATAAATTCAAAATGGTAAAAATTACTACAGACAACATTATCTGATCACAATGCAGTAGCATTAAAATTCAGCTACAAAGGGATAACTAAAAGAAAAACTACCTGCTAAGAAATGTTTAGAAATATTCTTCCAAACAACTCAGCTAACTAGGAAACTAAAATAACTCAGAATGGCTAAAACAATTTTAAAATTGGAAACACTACATTTCCCAACTTCACAACTCAGTAACTTTAAGTAATCAAGATAGTGTGGTACTGGCCTGAGGGTGGACATATAAATTTATGGAACAGACTCAAGAATCCAGAAATAAACCCTACATTTATAAACAGATCTTGGACAGAGGATCCAAGGCAGTTCATTTGGGAAAGGACAGTCTTTTCCCTGGGAAAGCAGGCTATCCTCATGAAAAAGATGAATTTAGACCCTTCTCTCACATCATGCACAAAAAGTAACTCAAATGGGTTATTAACTTAAAGCTTAAACATAAGAACTAAAGCTATAAAATATTTGAAAGAAATAGAGGAAAATCTTGATTAGACAAGAGTTCTTAAACATGACACCAAAAGCACAAGAGGTAAAAGAAAAATACATTGCAAATTGGACTTCAAAATTTAAAACCTTTGCAATTCAAAAGAAACCATAAAGGACAGGCACCACATTTCTTGCTTTCAAGATATATTACAAAGTTACAGAAATCAAAGCAGTATGGTATCAATGTAGTCATAGAGACTGATGAACCAAAACAGAGAGGTTAGAATAGTTCACACATATACAGTGAACTAATTTTAAACAAGAGAGCCAAGAATACATGGTGCGGAAAGGACAGTCTCTTCAACAAATGATATTGGAAAAACTGGTCATCCATATGCAGAAGAGAGAAATAGACACTTGTCTTATATTATATACAAAAATGAATACATAGAGTATAATTTATATACTGTGGTAGAAGCAGTGAGACAAAATTAACCAGAAGTAAGCCTTGTATAGAAAGGAATTTAGCATGTAAGAATAAGGAGATATTTCAAATCGGTGGGGAAAAGATGAACTATTTGGTAATAGGTATTAAAACAATGCAGGTTAACCTTCTGGGAAAAACTCCTACTAGGTAGGATTAAAGATGCAAAAGTAAAGTATGAACTATAATTTACTTTTTAAAAAATAATTTTGGGAGTAGAGAAAATTTCCTTCTGTAAGACACAAAAGTCATAAAGCCATAGGTGTATAACTAAAGAAGGAAAATTAAAATAATAAGACATGAGACATTGCAAAAAGCATCTGCTCTCTCAGGCTCATGCTCAAACACGTGCTTTCAAATGCATGCTCACTCTCTCTGTGTATACATACATGCACACACAAGTAATGAAATTGATATCCTGAAAAACAGACAAATTAAATGAGGAAAAATAGATAGGTGAAGAACAAGCTATTCACATTAGAGGTAAATATAGATGGCTAATACACATACGCAAATGTTAACCTTCATTAATCACAGAAATGCAAATTAAAACAAGATGCCATTATTTGCTCCTTTAGAACAGCAAAAATTAGAAAGGCTAATACAATCTTATGAGACGTTAGCAAGTGTGGGGAAAAATGGAAACTCATAAGTGATGGGACTGTAAACTGGCACTATTTCAGAAGATAATCTAGCAGTACATAGAAAATTTAGTATTAGCATATCATTTAGCAATTTCAACTCTCAAACCCAATGCCACAGAAAAACCACTAAATATGCACAGACACAAGGACATTTATTTCAGCACTGCTGCAGCAAAAAAAATGGAACCTCTTATAAGCCAGGTTATAGTAAATAATTGAAGACATTGATTAATGAACACATAGTGGTTAAAAATAATGAAATATAATCATATGCAGTGAGTTGGAAGGTTTACAAATATATAACGTAACATGTTGTTAAGTCACAGAATATTACAGAATGATCCAACCAATCTGATCCCTCCCACCAAAACTGGGAAACCAATTTTATCACAGTGCATGTAGAAAGCACACACATACCTTGCTTTACAGTGCTACTTCAAGAAATAACAACTGAATAAAAGGGACCTAGTTGTTATTTATTCACATATACTTCTGAGATTGAATTTTTATGATTATGATTTTTAAAAGTTACAAATAACACAATCAAACAAACAAAATAGTCATTGAAATCAAACCAAGAACCACTGAGGGTGAGGGGGGAGAAGATTAATTCCTCTGAATAAAAGAAAAAGGGGTGGGGTGGTTAAACTTATAACATTTTTGGTTTGAAAGTGACTGCAGAAGTATGTCACAAAATGTATCCATATATTTTTCTACAAAAAAAATTCTGTGTGAGGATAATTCTGCCATGGTGATGAACAATAGTAAGTGTTTAGCTTCCTTAGCTACAATATTTGGATCTCCTTATTCCCAAGAGTTACTCAAAGCAGCTACCCAGAACAAAGGTGTACTTTCTCCTGGTGGCTAGCCACAAGTAGCCAGGCATTATGTTAAATAAGCAGCAAGGTTTGGTCTCACTGCTTCTACCACAGTATATAAATTATACTTTAAAATACATGCCCCCTTACTAATTATATTTTTTGCAAAACTTGATTGACAGTAAGAGCATTTCTAAAACCAGGTTCACTAAACTGTGTTTCACCAATATAAACTATTAATCTTCTATCTTACTCATAATACATAATGCACTCAGGTCAGATACAAAAGTTAAAAGATATTCTTCAGGTGACATAGCTGATATTCATTTTTCCTCTCCATTAAAGATCAAGACCACACTTCTAAGCACTTTTCTCAAAATATACAAGGTCAGTGATTAACAGATTCTGACAGCATTTCAAATGCTTTTACATTTTAACTCACCGTGAATCTCTTTGATACGAAGTGTATTCTGATACATTCCATACTTCAAAATTAACTGTTCCAGATAGTAGAAAGTTTTTTTGTGCAAAGTCTAAACATAAATGCAATATTAAATTAATAGATGAAATGCAAAAAAAAAAAAAAAGCCATTTAGAGATGCAGCACACTGATTTTTAAAACTAAAACAATCTGTAAAGACTACCTATAATGCAATAACGATCTATTTCTAAAGGTGAATGCTCCAGGAACCTAGGCTATCCTCAGTGCATGAAGGATTTGGAAAAAAGGGAAAAGAAAGAGGTTTTATTAGGTACTTCAAGCTGACAAAGATAAAATATGAGCTGGAGGATTCACTCATCATCTTCCTCTCATCACCTTTTGCCGGACTTGGACCACAGCCTTCCAGAAATCCTTAGCTTCTACTCTATGACAATCTCCGCACATTTGGGGCTGAACAACATAATCCACCACAAACACTTGCTGAAGGATAGCACCATTCATCACCTGAATTTAAAAAAAAAAAAAAAAAAAAATCACTCTCCTTCATTCTTTCCTTTCTGTTTAATAACAAATATTTTTATTAAAAAGACACTATTAATATTTTAATATTTAACTCAAACTATTTTTTCCAGGAATGCTTTGAGAATATCAACAATAATCAGTTAAATGTAAAGTCACAAGTTATACTATTTTAAGAGAGATACATAGGTTAAGATTTACTATAATAACATTGCAAATTTACCTTTAGTTGAAGTGGTTGTGAGGATTTTTTTGCAGAATTTTATATATATATATATTTGTGTACGTGTGTGTGTATAAAATTTATCCTTAGAAGACAAAAAAACTCTCAAAAAAGAAAACATTCCTAATTTGTTTCCAAACATAGTCAATCATCTGAAATCACCTCAGAAGATTTCTAAACAAATATATTTTTGTGTCACATCCAGTTGAAGCCATTTTGACTCAGTTACTGTGAGTCATGATAACCAGCCAAGTTTGAGAAACACCACCATAGCTCAAGTTTTTACTTCAATTTTTTTTCCTATAAAGTAACTTTAAAAAGATTATCTTAGCCTACTAAACATAAGGAACAGCTGCTATTAGTGACCTGATCATCTGTGCAGATGATCCAAAAGAAAATAGATTTGAAATTAAGAGTTCATTCATGTCCTTTTAAGCTGTTCAAGTCATAAAATAACTTACCAATAGCCCCTTCATTTTCACTACCTACACTTTTAATCATACTGACAAAATTATACACAGCTTACCTCTTTCTGAATAGTCAGTTTAACTTTAAGTCTCTTAGAATGGGGCTCTGTCCAAACAAAGCCTGCATCTACAAGCCGGACCTTCCACAAAACACAAACAGAAAATAACATGAGTTCCCATATGAGGAGAAAAATATGAGAGAACAATTCATTAATAAGTAAGTGCCCATCAGTAAATGAGTGGATCAAAAAACTATGGTACATTTACACAATGGAATACTACACAGCAGAAAGAAAGAGCTATTACCCTTTGCGACAGCATGGATGGAACTAGAGAGCATAATACTAAGTGAAATGAGCCAGGGGGTAAAAGACAAATACCATATGATCTCACCTATAAGTGGAACCTAATCAACAAAACTAACAAGCAAGGAAAATATAACCAGCAACATCAAAAGAAAAAAGAAACCAACAGTAACAAGAGGGAAGGAGGGAGGTGGGTAACAGGGAAAAGAAGGGGAAGGGTCAAGTCAAGGAACATGTATAAAGGACCCATGGACAAAGCCAAAGTGGGAAAGGATTGAGGGAGGGAGGTGAGGGTGGGTGGGGCAGGGGAAAGCGATGGGAGGAAAATGGAGACAAATGTATTGGAACAATAAAAAAAAAAAATTAAAAATAAATAAATTAGAAATTAATAATGAAAAGATAAAAAATATTTCCTTAATAAATTTCATAAGATATTTAAGGAATCTGCAATTAGTATCACTACCGAACATAACCAGTAAAAAAACAAAAGGATCATGAAAGGTACAACAACAACAACAGCAAATGAAAGGACAATCTAATGACTACATTAATGCAATGGGTATAATACAAGTAAAAATAAAATACTACTTACATAGGAAAAAAAAATACTCTTCTCCCTAAGGTAATATACTGTGATTTGAATGGACATTATACTTTTTATAAGAAAGCAAAGATGTTGTGACCTTATCATCTACTAGAAATCTCATGAACAGAAATTTCTACTTGGATTATCTTTCTAATATTAAGTATGTGTCCTTAAAAAAAAATAAAGAGTAAGCATTCATTAGAGAGCATCTCATGCATTGAATACTAAATCCATAACGGTAATGCACTGCTAAATAAGCAGAATCAACAGAGGCCAAGAACAGCCTGCTGTATCTGAGAAGCTACACAGAGCTCAATATTGCTAAAATAGATGTTTTGAGGAAGGAGGTAACAGGACAAGAATGAAGATTGTTTCAATAATTTGGGCAGGAGTTGTAGGTAAGCTGAACTAAAAGGTGCTAAAAATAACAGAAGCAAAAAGATCCAAGAGCTATTTAAAATACAAAATCTATAGGATTTAATAACCAGATATGGAAGGCAGAACAAAACAGATTTTATTGGGTTGGCCAAAAAGACTTTAGTTTTTTCTATAAAAGTCACATTTTTCATTTTCACCAGTAACTTTATTAGATTTGGATATTTTGAGTATGTCACCTATCTCCCATGTGGTATAACATTGATTGTTTTCAATTAATGTCTCCATTTGGTTGCTATCAACTTCAACTGATCTACCTGACTGTGGAGCGTCACCCAGCAAGAAACCTCTAGCGCCAGCACAAATCTTCACAAACTACTTTTGACACATTCAATCTGTCACAGCACCTTCTCCATACATTGCACAAATCATTTTTGCATTTCAGTTGCATTTTTCCCTTTCTTGAAAGCATAAAGCATAATATGCTGAAAATGTTGCATATTTTCTTCCATCTTCAATATTAAAATGGCTACACAAAAATTCACCAATTTTGATAAGTTTTTTTAAATGCACATTGATATGACAGCTGTCATAATAAAATCTAACAAAATTGTTTTTAATGAAATTAAAGACAACTAAGTGCTACTAGAGCCATCTTACAGAGAAAAAAAAAAAAAAAAGCAAATGAACTTTTTGGTCAACCCAACAGAATGATGCTCAAGTATCCAGCTTGGACATCTGGATAACCCTATTTTTCTGACACAAAGAATAGATTTAATAGGGAGAAGATGCTGCATATGGTTTCAGATGTTTGCATTTAAGAGGACTAACCTATGAGAAAATCAAGTGAAGATGTTCAGTAGCTAATAAGACACAATATTTAGTCTGGAGCTCTATGGAGAAATCTGAACTCTAGATAACAGATTTGGGAGACATCAGTGGGCAGGTGATAATTTAACCAAGGCCTGTCTGGTGAGAGCTGGACTAGATAGCGTAGCTGCAGCACTCCATAGTAAACTCTCCTAATACAACTGGCTCCCCACTAGCCAACCCTAGTAGTCACCAAGCCACAGATGTACAGAGAGTGACAGGCAGCGTCTGTTCCCTCGGTATCCAACTGCAGGGGTCAAGAGGAAGCCGATGGGCACTAAGGCTCCCTTTCCCTCGGCCTCCAACCTCCATCTGCAATAATGGAAGTGGACCCTTCACCTCTACTTCACCACTGCCCAACAGTCTCACCAAACTATTGGTGCTCAGACAACCAGGATTAATCAACTTTATTGGGCCCTTTAATCTTCTTCACCATAGTCCCAAACACCTCAGTCACCCCCATCTCCCACACACCAAACTCCACATGGTTCCACATGTTCCTTATTCTGTCCCATCTAACACTCTGCAACTCAACATTCACTAACAACAAAACCTCCTAAATCCTCAATCTCTTCACTGAACACTCCCATCACCATGTAGAGCTCTTGATTATATACGAGGTCTGTCAGTAAAAAGTCCAGCCATGGTTAGTATAACAAGAACAGTCTGTGCAACATCAACATAACCTGGCAGCCAAGAGTGGACTGCAATGAGCATGCATGAACAAGGATGACTTCACTGTACTAGTCAGTAGGGATGGTAGATGCCACTGAGTGAGCAAGTGTACTGTGTAGCCGTCACATTCAAAATGACTGATTGGAGCAACAAAGTTGTATCAAATTTTGCATTAAGCTTAAACGTTCCTCCACAGAAACTATTCAGATGACTCTTCAGTATTAAAATGGCTACACAAAATCTGTGGCTAAGGGCAAGTGCTGACTGGCAGCTTCATCACAATATACCCACTCACGCATCACATCTCATGCAGAATTTTTTGTGAAACATCAAATCACCCAGGTGACTCAGCTCCCCTGTAGCCTAGATTTGGCGCCATGCGACTTCTGGCTTTTCTACAAACTAAAATCACCTTTGCAAGGAAAGAGATTTGCAAGGAAAGACCATTGATGAGATTCAGGAAAATACAATGGGGCAGCTGATGGCAACTGGGAGAACTGTGTGAGGTCCCAAGGTACCTACTTGGAAGGGCATTGAGGCGTCACTGTCCTACTAACAATGTTTCCTGTATCTTGTATCTTCTTCAATAAATGTCTCTATTTTTCATATTACATGGCTGGACACCTTCCAGGCAGACCTCATACACTGTTTCTCTGCAGCTAATAAAAGTAATGACTGATATTTTTCTCACTTTCCTCCCGCTATTGGACCAGGAGCCAAACAGGTATCATCCTTGCTCTTAAACTACTTTTTCTAAACCATTCTCCCTACCTCCTCCTTAAAAGCAGCCAGGTCCGAATCTGAAATCTTGGGACTATGTCACCACCTCTTTCTCTGTTAAATCATCTGTTAATCCTTGGGTTACCTGCTTCCATTTCTCAAAGATTTTTAGATCCTGGCTCAGTCACTCTTCTCAATAATACTAATACTTGATGATTTCAGTATCCTCATAAATAATGCCCCAAATACCTTATCCTCTCCATTCTTTTTGAGTTCCTCTCCCCACAAGATCTTGTCCTGCTTCCAACTCATAACTAAATCTCCCACCACCTCCCTAATCTCAATTCCAAGTATCAAACTGACTATCATCTCCTACATTTCCAGCTCATTCTCTCCAGTTCCTGAACACCAAAAACCTTTCAATCTACTGAAATCTACAAACTGTTCATCCGACCACCTTTTCGCTATCCCTCATCTCTCCCTTCTACACACTTCCATCCTATCCCAGCTTAATCTCAAGATCAATCATCACTGATCCCTAAGTGTACACTCAATTGCCTTGGTCCCTCTCTCACTTTACCTTGGTCACCCGCCTAAATCATAATGTTGGTTAAATTCAATCCTCTGCCTGCTTATCCTTTACCCATGCAGATGGTGGGGCTAGAGAAATACACACACACCACATTATTCTGTAAGTTTGTAACGGTAGCTCTCAACCCTGCCCAGCAACCATCCTTCACTCTGGTACATTTTCCCACTTTCCCAGAGGTCTATTTCATGCCTTCTCCCCTCTTCAAACATCCTATAATAGATTTTCCCTGAATAACTACTGCCCATGAATCTGTTTTCACAATTTTAAAAAAGGAATCGAAAGAGATTTTCCAGAAGCTCCCACATGCCAACACCTCCTCTTCTGTTACCACAGATGAAATGTCCACACTCCTATTAAGACCAACCTCTAAGATGCCCCAATAGAGAGCAGAGACCTTTGTTCTGTTCAGTAAAATATCTAGGCTCCCAAAATGGGATGGCAAGAAGTACGTGCCAAATACTTGTTGAATGAACAAGGAAAAGTATTCTTCCACTATATCCTATCACTTTCCTACTTCTCCAGGACATCTCCTAGCCAACTATTCTGTATCTTTGCAGTTTTACAAATTTTTCCCTCTATACTCTATCATTCGAGGACAGCTTACTAATATACTGTAACATCTCCCATCTTAAGAACTATGTCCTTCCCCTGGCCAGTATGGCTCAGTTGGTAGGAGCATCATCCCATAAACTGCTCGAGGCATATACCTAGATTGCAGGTTCAGTCCCCAGTTGGGGTGCAAACAAGAGGCAACCAATTCCATGTTACTCTCTCCCACGGATGTGTCTCTCCTCTCTCCCCGTCTCCTCCACTCTCTAAAAATCAGTAAGTATGCCCCCAGATGAGGATTAAAAAAAAAAGAAATGTCTTTTTTTTATATTTGCAAATTTTTTTTATTGTTGACCCTATTACCAATGTCCCCCATTGTCACCCTCCTCCCTCCTAGACCCAGCCCCACCCTGGCCATCACCACATTGGGCTCACCAGACATTTGACAAAAGCCTGAAGTGTGAGAGCAAAGAGACCAAGTTACACGAAAAACTGACTCCAGGAAAAAAAAAAGAGAGAGAGAGAGAAATCAGGAAATAGGAATGTTTAAAAAAAAAAACCAAACCCATTAACAAGGCCTCAGATATACTGAAGAGCAGATGCATCAAGACTCTGAAACTTAAAAATATTTTAGTAAAAATCAATACAAACACAGGAAGATAAAGTTAAGAAAATTACCAGGAACACAGAAAAAAACAAAAAGACAATACAGAATAAAGATTTAAAACAATACAAAAGAAAAAAGACAAACTTTAACAGTAGTTTTATACAAATATTTTCCCCAAAATTTATTGCATATAAGAGGTTCTTGATAAATGAGAAATCTGATTCTATATTAAATCTTTTAAAGCAGATATATTTTCATTTTCACAAAAAGAACATATATAACTTTAAAAATGAAATGGCATGTGTAGTAAGAGTGCTTACCAACAGTAACATTTAATAGTTACTTTTGAAAAACCTACTTATACAAGGATTTACCAAAAATGAGAGATTAAAAACATATTCCTACAAAAAGAAATTTTAGCTATTTGCCCTACCTTACTCAGAGAGGCTTTAATTTTTTTCAAACACAGAGCAAGAAGTTCTCTGGATTCTAATGCACATTGTATCCAAGTTCCTGGTGGCTGGAAATATCTGAGAGAGAAGATAATATACTAAAACCCAAGGAAAACAATAATTTTCCTCCAAGGAAAAACAATAATTTCCATCTGCATATGCAGATATAACACTGATTATCAACCAGATATAATAACCCAAGTTAATCTGAAGCACTTGACCCAAATATATTTTAATAGTTCTAGAACACTTTCCATTAAACCAGTAGTTTTACTTAAAAAGGTAAAATTCTGTATATTTGCAAAAGCCAATCTAATAAAATAACCCAGCAAAGAGGTCTTAGCACTGCAAGCACCATAAGAATTCTACTGGGGATGACAAAATGACCAAAAGTTCCTCGCATCTATGCTCTGAAAAACAGGTAAAAATCATCTTAAAATGGCATTAAAATGATTTATAATGTACATCTATAATGCTTGAGAACTGCTTACTTCTCACACACAAAAAAGATAAATTAGTACCTCATACTATGTACCAAAATAGTTCAGACTATTCCCTTTCCAAATTTTAATTGTAAAACTCAATTTTTAAAATCTAAGCTAAAATTGAAATCCTTTGTGCATGTGCTTTAAGATTTTTAGCCTAGCCCAACCAGGACTTGGAACAATGCCTAGCACATAGTCAGCGCTCAATAAAAGTTTGTTAAATACATAGTACTTCTAAATGTGTTATGTGAATACTTTTTCTTTTTTGGAATACTTTTAAAGTTTCATTCAAAAATATTATACAAGTTTTTTTGTAATAAGCATGCTTTTTGAGTTAGAAAGGGCTTCATAAATCATCTAATGAAGCCCCTTCAGTCTGATCAGGAAATTAAGGCTTTAAAGGGGTTAACTGGCCATGAGTTTGAAAACGTTAATTTGTGAGAAATCCAAGACAAACTTGGTATCCTCATTCTTTGTCCAGTGTTTTACTCCACCATGCTTTTAAGAATAGCCCATATATATATATATAATAGATTAAGCCTCACACTTGCAAAGCTTGCAAAGTGTAAACCCCCTGAAATAGTAAAAACTTTCATGTGTTTATATATACGAGTATGTACATGTGTTAAGTCTTTTTCTGGGGAGATAACTTTTCAAATTCTCAAAAAGATCCATAAACCCCTCCCCTCCAAAAAAGTTAAGAACAACTACAATCCTAACCCATTCAGAAAATCACAGGCATATAATTTTATACAGTTTCATTGGGCAGTTTTGTGTTATTCAATGGCCTACTGGGTAGTTTAGCAATAACTAAAGTTAATAAATAAGGAATATAAACATTAATTTTTAGAAGGTCTTCTGCCTTCAAATCCAGTCTTTATTTCAGACCATTGCAGATGTGATTTACTGAGCTTTTTTTATTGTCATTTTGGTTACATGGGAACATTCATAGATCTAATTTTCAAAATACACTGCTAAATTACTTAAAACATAAGGTGCTTTTTTTTTTTTTATCATGCATAGCTTCTAGTGACTGAGGGGAAGAACACTTTCATGGTATAAAGGATGTCCTTAATAAACTGTTCTCACTCTTATGAACATCAACTTGTTATCTATCAACTGTATATACCAAACTCATTAATCTCTTAACAGAAAAAGAACAGACTCAAACACCTTTACACTGTCTTCACCAGATTAGCAGAGCAAACTAAAAAGTACACTACAAAACTGCAAATTCTAAAATCTTTGGTAACATCAACATAAATAAAATTAAATCTCAATACATGCATTTTTCATGTACCTTGGTAACCACAGCATATCCTATATATAAACCTCAACTGTAAGTAGGATGAATAGTTCACACCATACCTTTGGCATTGTTTGCAGAAAGATATAGAGACCTGTTTCGGAATGCCTTGACTGATGTCTACCTTACTTCGCAAACAGGCCACACAAATATTGGCAGGATTTGGACTAATTGCAACACCACATTCGCAGCACAAGCTTAAATAAATAAAGCATAAAATTTACAAATTAGATTTCATAAATGCACTGATTAAATTTAAAAACTATCAAACGAAGTCATTCAAGTTAGGGCTGTAATACCTCTGCTCTTAAAGCAGCATAGAAAAAAAAAAAAAAGCAATCCTCAAAGAGGTAGTAGATAAACAACCTTGAAATGCTGAGATTTGAAAACAAAAAAAGCAGCCAAAATTCCAAAGTCCCTCAAAATATAGCTGATATCTAGACCAAAAGGTCTAGAAAGTCTAAATTATTTCTAACAGTAATGAGACAGCATTACAGGTCGAAGGCAATTTTTTAAAGCCTCAGTATAGCACAGGGACTGCGAAAATGTAAACACTTTACCAGAGCAGAAAATTTTTAAAGGAAGGAAAGCGTATCATGTCTAGTCATTCAGTGTAACTGATGGGAGAGTCATAACCTTAGGTGTATTCGGGGCAGAAAATGTTTAAGAATCACTGATGTTGTCCAAAAGAAATGTTCTATAATATGTGATGTCCCATATGGTAGCTACCAGACACATGTGGCTACTGAGGACCCGAAATGTGGCCAGCCCGACTTAAGAACTGAGTATTTCACTGTATTTCATCCTAAGTCCTTTAAACGGCCACATGTGGCTAACGCCTACGGTACTGGACAATGCCACTCTAGAAGAATATATGGTGAATATAGCCTCTTAAGTATTTGCGGTAACAAACTTCCCAAGTAAAAATGAATTCTATTTTCTCAGGAAATAAGGCTTTTCATTTTTATTCACTTAAGACAACGAATCCCTCCCCCCTTAAAATTACAAAAGCGTTCCCCAAAGTTGGTGAGTTTCAGTCTAACATCTTTAAATTTAAATTAAAAGGGGGGTGGGGGAGGGGCGCGCGACTCACATATGTCCAGGGGTGCGGTCGGTGGTTTCTGTCATATACTCCATTGTGCTGTATGCCCTGATTTTAAAAAGAAAGAGATTATCGTGGGATCTGTCACTTGCCTATTCACTTCTTGATACAAATATTTTCTGTCTCTCTGGATAAGGCAGCTAAGCCTCACAATGTAGCAAATAAGAAAAAACAATTCCACTTGGTAACTCTGAATGAGGTAACTTCTTTATTAAAATGAAGGGAATTTCGAAGTCTCCAATCCGCAAGACCCTCTCCTGCGACTAAACTCGGCCGCTGGCCTCAGCTGTCACCTGGGTACCGCCCGGCGGGCCCAGGGCGGGGTCAACGCTGGGGCCGCTCCCACGCCCCCAAGCCTCGGACTCGAGTTGCAGGAGTCCGCGGACGGTGTCACCGCGCCCGCGGGCCACCCACCCGGACCCCTGTACCCCGCGGTGAGACCTCACAGGAAGTCCGGACCCGCGGCGCACACGCGGCGCACACGTGGCCAGAGGCCGGCCCGAGCTCAGGGCGCCCGCCCCACTCTCTCCTGCAGAGACCCCCGCGCGACAACAGCCTGGGTCTCGGTTCCCAGAACCCACTTAATACCTCTGAGCAGGACCAGGACTCGCCGAAAAACCACAATACAAGGAGCCCCTTCCACCCACTCCAACGGCCACTAGAGCCGGCACAGGACAGTGAAGGTCTCGCGAGAAAAGGGATCCAAATCTCGCGGGCCGAGAGTTGTCAGTTAAAGGGGTGGGTAGGGGCGGAGAAAGGGGTGGGCCCAGGCGAGCCACGCGGCGGGCAAGGGCTGGCAGCTGCGGGGGATCCAGGAGAAAAGTCCGGGTTCGGTCTTTCGGCGATCCCTGAGGCACATACTTTCCTATTGTTCTGTTGGGTTACCTTTATTACCGATTTTCTCGGGCCAGATTTAACTCCAACCCAGCCTCGGCCACTTTTCAGATATCCCGATTGGGAGCTTGCTTCTTGGTGAAATGATTATATAAAAGGTATCTGTAAACAGTATCGCTTTACACATAGAAATTAGAGTAAACTCCGTGGAGGAGAGTCCCTTTGTCTATTTTGTTCACCATCGTATACCTAATGTGTGCCACATTCTAAATGCTCAAATGAGTGTTGAACAGATAAAAGAAAAAAGAAGGCATAATTATTTGCGAATAAATGTATGCTATTTTTAGGCTACTCCAATTATTAGAATGTGCTTCCTGATAATATACTTAATATTTCCTTGTAACTTTATACCTTAAGTATAGAACAGCACAGACTATGTCTACCAGCTCTTTCTCAGGACAGATTTTCAAAATTTGAAGAATACAATCATTTTTTCCCAGTGTTCTCACCCAAATTTTAAGGAATAAGCAAGGTGATCTTAGAGTAGGTGATTGGAGAAGGCGTCGCATGGTTTCTTGACCACGGTACTTAAATGGTCTCCCATTCATTTTCCTTACTTCCAGACTCCAATCCATCCTCCTAAAATGCAAATATGATTTTGTCATACTCCCCTGCTTTTAATCCTTTGGTGGTCTCTGGTCACCTCCTGAATTATTTCCAATTCTCTGCATAGAAAGAGATCTGACCCTGCCAAACTCTCACATTGCTAAGCACACAGCCCAAATGGAAGGTCCTCACAAGAACTAGTCTACCTTTGCTTATGCCCAAGACACTCCACCTTAAAGATTAAGCTCGAGCATCCTATATCAGTTTTCTATTACTGCCATAAAATTATCACAAATTTTGTGGCTGAAAACAACACAAATTTATTATCTTACAGTTCTGGAGGTTTTAGGTCTTAAAAAAATGCTCCTTCTTTACATATGGCCCTAAAACATCTTGATAGGAGATATATACCTCTATAGTAGTGCTAGTGACATTAAATTGGATCATAAATGTTCTACTCTGCATGTTCCATGGGTTCAGACTCCTGGGTCTTGTTCTTCTCAGTATTCAGTGCCTCTGGATTACTGCCTGGCACCAAACACACCTTTAGTGTATCTTGGTAAATTAATTATCCGTTTAATACTCAAAGCAACTCAGAAGAGACAGTGCTTATCTCCTTATTTTTTTCAAACACATTGTCATTTCCCTTAAGTCAAATACCAGTAGGAAGAGAACTTTAGTTGAACAGATGGTGTTTATTATGCATTGAAGTCAGTGCAAACAAACCATTTGGAATTACAAAGTGTCTTAGTAAGAATGTGCTGGAAAAAAACTGATCACAGATTTGACAGGGTGACTTGAGGAGGGTCTAAGAAAGCAAGGATTTACTGTAGATTGGATGCTGTCAGAAAGCAGAGGCAATTCTATTGTTGGATATCTCAATAAATCTTATATATAGGAAGAGAGGCAGAAAAATAAAGCCGCAATCAGTAAAGACGTAGCAGTCACTCGTTTTGACCACGTGAGGGAGTGAGCAGTATTTTGTGTGTGGGACAGTGACCTTGTATTTATCTGTGCTTAGACGAGATTATGCAGTGGCCTTGCTTTCTCTGATTGTACTGTGGTCTCAGAGGAACCTTGCATCAGGTTGATATTCTATGAAATTGTTTACGTCTAACAGAAGAGTGTGGTCTACTTGTGGGTACAGGCCCGCCTCTGTTTTAGAGCCAGGGGCAGCTCTTTCTTCCTTTCCCAACACAATCCGTCAATACCCTATTTGATGTGGCATCAAGTGCCACAGTACCAGGCTTGTTAGGCAACTAGATATACAACAGCGGACAACATGGATGTGGTCCCTACCTTCATGGAGATTACGTTTCACAGGTGAAGGTGATATTCCAAAAGACTGCGTAATTTGCTGAGAGTTCTATAGCAAATAAGTGGCAGAACCAAGACCTAAACTACATACAGTTTCTCTCTGCCCTCATGCCCTCAACACCCTCTCAGGCTACCTGCCCTTCTGAGGCTCGGGCTGTCTATTCTTATCCGTGGGCTTTTCTTTTTTTAAGAAAATGTTCATTTTCCATCAAACTTATTTTAATTTTCTGTTTAAGAGTCTGTGGAAAAACAGGTTAAAACCACACAGTGGTTATTCTTAAGTAAGCAAATTTTGATGTCAGAAAAAAATACTTTCTAAAATGTCCGGGTATGCAGCTGATTTACTTCAGGGTACTTTTCAGTTAATTTAACCATGGCCTTCCAATTAATTATAAAAATTAGTAATATTGAAGAAATAATCCAAGAAATAATTTTCAGAGTGTAAGAACTCAAAATTTACAGATTGAAAGGATCTGCCATATTCTCATCAATATGGATAAAAATAAGCATGTGCCAGAGACCATGAGGCGGAGGCCCAGAACACTGGTGATGAAAGGGTTTTTTTAAGAGGATATTAAATCATTTGTTGATTACACATGATAATGGATGATGCACAAACTTCATTCCCATCTATAATTTTATCTGGTACCATAATTCAGTTTAGATACATCGCACAGGATATGCCAACAACCATTAATAACCAAATAAACTCCATGACTCTGCTTGGGTGACCCTTTTACTGGTGAAGTCCAGGTCACAACATAGTAACTTATCAATTCAACTCTACCAAGGTTTCTGAAGACAATGGCTTGTGTGCCCAAGCAGGTTGTAGATACGTTTCCAGTGGAATCTGGCATCACCCTGCAGGAATTCCAACTTCACACTGTTGGTAATTTACCAAGGTGGCTTCAGAACAGACTAACTTTACACAGCACGTTTTTTAAAAAAGACACATTTATTCAGAGTCATGATCAGACTATTACATTTAGCAATCAACAGCATAAGTGCAAAAAAAAAAAAAACGAAGAAAAATTACATTAAAACCCTTTCGTGGAAATGCTTTATACTTTCCACAGAACAGAAACTAAAATAACCTGTTTTACAATTAGTCACAAATACAGTCCTCGAGTTTTTTTTGCCCATTCACATGAGTGTTGTCTATAACATCTCTTCTTTGTAGCAGCTAGGCTCTGCCACCATTGTGCTTGGCTGAGTTCACAAATCAGTTGTAACCTATAGCTTCCCTGTCCTGTCTCTGGCTCTCCTCTCCTGCTAAGCTTTGTTTCCTGGCAGCAATTAAAACCTTCTGCCACTGCCAAAGCTACTGCTGCTGGAACCACCATAGCCAACTTGGTTTCGTGGTTTGGCAAAGTATTGGCCTCCCCCACCATAGGGGCCAGGGCTTCTGCCTCCTTTCCTCCTTTCATGGGTCCAAAATTTGAAGATTGATTGTTGTAATTGCCAAAATCACTGTAGCTTCTGCCACCTCCATAACTGCTTCCATCATTACCAAATCCATGATAGCCATCCCCACTGCCACCAAATCCACCACCACCACAGCTATCACCAAAGCCACCTCAACCCCTGAAGTTTCCTCCATGACCAAAGTTGTCATTCCCACCAAAGCCCCCTCCACGACCACCTCCGAAGTTTCCAGAATGACTTTGACCTCTTTAACTGGATGAAACACTAGCCATCTTTTGCTTAGATAAGGTTTTCCTTACTTCACAGTTGTGACCATTTATAGTATGGTATTTCTGAATGACAACCTTGTCTACAGCGCCATGATAATCAAAGGTTACAAAAGCAAAGCCTCTCTTTTTGCCACCACCTTAGTCAGCCATGATTTCAATTGCTTCAATTTTCCCATACTGTTCAAAATAATCTCTTAGGTGATGTTCTTCAGTGTCTTCTCTAAGTCCACTGACAAAAATCTTTTTCACAGTTAAGTGGGCACCTGGTCTTTGAGAACCTTCTCTCAAGACAGCCCTCTTTGGTTTCACAACTCTTCAATCCGCGCTGTGTGGCCTTGCATTCATGGCTACATCCACCTCCTCCACAGTGGCATGTGTGACAAACCCAAAGCGTCTGGAGCGCTTGGTGTTTGGAGCTCTCATAACCACACAGTCTGGGAGCATCCCCATTGCTCAGAATGGCTCCTCAGGCTCTCACCTGTTATTTCAAAGCTCAGACCTCCAATGAATAGCTTCCGTAGCTGTTCCAGCTCTTTGGGGGACTCTGACTTAGACATGACAACTGCAGGAGACTCCAATGATGCTTACTCAGAGGCGTCCACCAGCAGAAAGCAAGATTTAAAAACTTGCTCTGTTGAAAGACATTTTGTGGAAGGTATGAAAAAGCAAGCTACTGAGTGGGAGGAAACATGTGGAAATTGTAACCACCAAATGACCAGTATCTCAAATATATAAAGAACTCTAAAAACTTCAATGTGAAAAAACAATCTAATTAGAAAATTGGCAGAAGACATGAATAGACATTGCACTGAAGAGAATATTCAGTAGTGAAATAAGGAGATATGAAGATGTTTCATGTCATTAGCCATTAGGGGTATGCAGATTAAAAGCACACTGAGGCTTCACTATCCATTTATTGGAACGGCTAACGTAAAAAGTAGTGAGAACACCATATGCGGGCAAGGATGCCGAGAAACTGGATTGTTCATACACTGCTGATGGGAATGTAAAATGGTAAAGCCACTCCAGAAACAAAATGGCAGTTTTCTTAAGAAACTAAAAACACCACTACCATACATACCTAGCAATTGTATTCCTAGGCAGTTATCCTAATGAAATGAGAACTTACATTCACATAAAAACGTGTACACAAATATTTATAGCAGCTTTATTTGTAGTAGCCAAAACATCCCAGGTATCTTTTAATGGGTGAATGATTAAACAAACTGTATTACATCCACACCA